TTCTTTTCAACTTTAAATTCCAAGTAAGGTGAAAAGAAGAGGCCCTTAGTAGTTCTAAAGCAAACAAAAAAAATGCTTTAGTTCAGAGAAGCTTGGTAAGACAATTGAGCAATAACAAAAAACAAATGTCAAAGATATATGCCACACAAAATAGAACAAACGAACAAATCCGTAAGTAGTAAGGGAAAGGGAAGAAGCATTATACCTTTCCCATCTCCAAATAGACAGCAGCTCTGTTAGTAAGGAAAGAAATGTCCTCATCATCAAGCTCGATGGCTTTACTGTAGTGCTGAATTGCTGATTCGAAATCCTTCTTCTTGTATGCCACATTGCCGGCCTCCTTCTCCTTCTGCGCTTGGGCTTTTCGCTCTTTAATCTCCTTCTCCTCCTCGGAGAACTCCACTGGCTCTGGCTCATGGACCTTCTCCTTCACGGGCTCGGCTTCAGCCGGTCTCTTCCTCTCTGGGGATTTTTCTCTCATATCAGGAAATTCTTCTCCGGGCATACCCGTCTGGATTTTTATGCCCAACAACACCCCAAGAGCCTGCATTACTCTCGGGTCTTTCAAATATAGGTTCAAATTGTTAGGGTCTTTCTGAATATCCTGCATCATACTCACGAAATCTGGCTGCTGCAAGTAGCCTCGAGTACTGGGGTCGCTGGTAAGCCGAGCCCACATCTCCGGGCCGGAAAAGGCATCTCCAAATGGACCAGTAGACGAATCCCTAGATCGAGGCTGAGCGGATTGAGCATCAGAAAGTCCGGATTTCAATGCCTCGTTACTCGGGTCGATTTCTAAACCCTTCTTGTAAGCAGAAACGGCCTCATCGCGCTGGTGAAGGCCAAGATGAGCGGCACCGAGCCGGGAGTACCCCTTGGGCCAGTCCGGCTTGAGTTCGACGGTCTTCTGAGCGTCGACGAGGGCGTCGGAGAACTTATTCAGAGAAGCGTAGGCGGCGGACCGGTTAGAGTACAGGACGTGATTGGTCGGCGCGAAGTTAATCGCCTCAGTGAAGTGTTTGATAGCCTCGGAGAAGTCACCGGCGGCGAAAGCGGCGTTGCCTTTGGCCTTGGCTTCGTCTGCCATAGCACTGTTTTCGCTGGGCTTCACTGAGTCGCTGGGCTTCGTCCTTCGGCTTTGTTGACTGATTTTCTTCTTTTTTGAATAAATTTTCAATACTCAACAATAATTATGTATTTTTTCAATTTAGTCTTTAAAATAAAATGATTATCGAGATGGTATTTTTTAATTAAGAAAAATGATCAGTTTAGTTCTCCAATTAATGGTAGGCATAACGATGTTAAAATTTACAATAGTTATTTATATGAATATTATGTAAATTAAATATTTAATAAATGATTCCATCTATTCTAAAATAAGACTCTTACTTGGATTTAATGTGTTTGATCGAATTTATTTTCAAATAAATATAACAAAAAATTACTCTAGAATTTTCTATTAACATGAGTCTTACGATAATACTTTGGGACGAAAAGAGCATTAAATATTTTCAAAACAATAACTTGAAACGTTTACTCTAAAATTTATAAAATTATATTAATAGTTTTATTTTTTATACTCTAATCCTACAAATTTTTGTAAAAAAAATCCATACTTAATGAGTTTTTATTCCGAAAATGGAGCAATTTAAGAAAATATACAATTAGAAAGTACCATTTTTGAAAATTAGAATGAATTGTAACATCGTTTTGATGACCTTTAGTGGGGGACTAAATTGAGGATTTTTTTTAATTAGCGAGTATCATCTCAGTAATTAGTTCATCTTGAAAATTAATTTAAAAATATACACAGTTATTGAGTACCATTTTAAGAAACTTTATCTTCTTTTTTTAAATGTTATTGTATCAATTATAATATAGTATTCGTCTATGCTTTTTCAATTTAATGAAGCAGAACAAGTCAATGTACCCGACTCTGCTGGAATTCAAATTTGGGTGAACTTCTCCATTAATCTTTGGAGTGGGCTTCCTATTACTCAAGCCAAAGGAGATGCGGAGCTGATGTTATTTTTCAACTTAAATTAGTTTAAAGTTTAAAATTGGGGTAGAATTTAAAAATAAAAATTGCACAGTCATTCCATCTTAAAATAGAATGTATTCTTATTATTATGGTTTTCGAGAACTTTTATTTATTTCTAAGTTTTATTTTATCACTCGAAAAAATAGAATATTTTTGCCACCGATTATTTTGTAGAAATTTTGATGTATTTTTTAATAATGCAATTTTGGTTTCTATACCAATTTGTAAGTAAAAAGATTTTAAAAGTAATAAAATTTTACATATTTTAAAACAATGACAAACATTTTTGGAAACGTAAGTAATCTAGAAATCACCCTAAATATGACTAAATCATAGAGAAAAGTATCGAAATAGAACTTTCATGTTTTTTTCCCCGAAATAGGACTTTGCATTGTGGTAATATGGCACTGTACATGTGCACATTACTGTACTTTTTTGGTAATGTATATGACCATGTTTAGCAATGTAAGTCCTATTTCGAGAATAAAAATATGAAAGTCCAATTTTCGTATATTTTCAATATTTTAGTCCTAGTTTGGTCTTTCTCCCAAAGTAATATTTAAAAACTCCATCAAAAATTTTACAAATTAAAAGATGACAGGAAGTAGATTTATAAAAAAATAAATAAAGTTTGATCCTCAATTCCAATTCTGGTGTTTGGTAGCACAAAAATTATGTGGATTTGGAATTTTGTAGTGCAAAAAATGAATTGGAATTGATGAATTCAATTCTTTAGAATTGAATCCCATTGAATTTTAATTTTAATTCAATTCCAATTCCAATTCCATCAATTCCGTATACCAAACGGACCATAAGAGAATTAGAAAAAAACGAAAAGCCTTCAAAAAACAAAAGGGAATGATTTTATGGAACGGAAAGAGTAAAGTAAGAAGTGGACATTTCATTCTTACTCCGTCTCCCTCAAAATTACAGAAAACAATATCAATGAGACAAAGAAAATGAGAGTGTATAAGATGGAGGTAAACACATTTGGCACTGGTGTCAAACACTACTGCTAGGCCCTGTTCTTTTCAAACCTTTTCTTCTTTTCAAATTTAAATTCCAGTTAAGGGGAAAAGAAGAGGCCCTTAGTAGTTCTAAAACAAACAAACAAACATGCTTTATTTAGTTCAGACAAACTAGGCAAAAGACTTAACAATAGCAGAAAGGAAATGCAAAAGCTACTCCCACACATAATAGAACAAAACAAGGAGAATTTACCTAGATAGGATTAAAACATAATGACTTTCTTAATATAGGATCATATATTTTTATTTCCCAATGTAGGACTGTTGGTCATTATATATTAGTCATTAGTCAGGTAAATGTCCACCATCACTGGACATTATTCCTCCCGATAGACATTATTAAGTCCTATTTAGAGAATAAAAAAGTTTAAGTCTTACATTAAAAAATGACTTATGTTATAGTCCTATTTAGTACAAATTTTTCAACAAACAAATCAGTGATAGAAAGGGAAAGGGAAGAGGCATTTATACCTTCCCCATCTCCAAATAAACAGCCGCCCTGTTGGTAAGAAAACAGATATCCTCGTCATTAGACATGGCAAAAAATGACTCACCCTGTTTTTAACTCGAAATCCGAGCCGAAAACACTGGGTTTTAAGCAAAAGTTTTGTTGACCGAACCCAAAGTGGAACGAACCCAAAATGACCCGCTAAAAATGGATCGAACACAACTAAACCCGAACCCGACCTGACCGACCCGCTAATGTAAGAGTTTTTTCAAAATCGTGGAGTTTACTATGGCCAGATCTACCATTTTTGAGAAACAAAAGAGATAAAAGGGAAAGGAAGAAAAAGGGGAGATAGATTAAGAGGAATAAATGGGCGAGGAAAATTTAATGTGATTTGTGTGTCAAAATTATAAATTAATTCCAAACAAGGAAAAAGGAAAAACAAAAACTTTATTTCCGGCAGGAGGAGTGTTTTACAATTACCAAATTTTAATCAAAAAATTATTTATTTTAACAGACTCTTTTAAAAAAGAAAAACGGGAGCTTTATTTCAAGCCAGAAGGGGTAGTTTTTACAATTACCAAAATTTACTCGAAAAATTACTTATTTTAATAGACACTCTTTTTGAGTAATGTTAAAGTCACAAACAGTTTGGACAGAAACTACACAAATTTGTTATTTATGAACTTTCTCAAGTGAGTAAAATGATTTTAAATAATTCAAAAATAAAAACTTAAATAAATAAATGGTAAGTTTGTGAAATTTGTATCCAAGTTGTTTGTGATTCTAGCACTACTCTTTCTTTTTCTTCCTCTTTATTTTCTTCTCCCCCCCCCCCTCTTTCAATATGTTCAACTGACCCCTTTAGATTTGATCATCAGATCATTCAAATATCCGTTAGATCTAAGAAATTCGTTTTAGATCTGGGTTCGATTCAGATCTGTGAAGGAGGTCAACATCAACGAAGGTTCTTCTTTTTCTTCAAGTCATCTTCATCTTCAAATATTTCTCATCTTCCTCATATCTTTGATTTCTTTTACTTTGGTGCGTCAATAGCTCAAATAGGGCCTTAAAGGTTGACTGCGAGAATTCTGAAATGTTAAGGTTGAGGAAAATTTCTCTCCCTGGAAGTATGATCAATTTCGTCGCCGGAGTTTTGCTTTGGAGGCTGGTTCTGGTCTTTTGGAATGGTGGGGGAGGAGGAGTGGTTGGGCGGCAGTATGGGAGGGTAAGTGGGATACGGTGGAGGGTATTTTGGGGAAGTCGAAGCAAATTTTAAGTTTTATTAAACTCCGTGCCAAGTCAACGTGGGAAACTTTAATCTTGGACAGGAGTATATTTTTTTTTTGCAAGAATGTTGAGCAGTAATTTATACTGGTAGTATTTGTGAACCAACAGTTTATTTTTGTATTTTTGTATATGGCAGGGCACATTATGGATCAATGGGCTTACAAAATGGTAGGATGTTAGACACGTGTTTCCAATAACCTTCAGACATTGATTTGCTGCTTTTATATAGAATAAAGTAGATCATATATATTAGTAGATCGGTGAATGTTTGAGGCTGTTTGGTGATCAAGGGCGACAACAACACGCACCCATAAGGAGGAAATTGCCTTTGAAAAGTGGGATATACAAAAAAAACAACCTCAAACATGTGAGAAACAGTAGATAGCATTTGAGAATCTAAATAGAAGTAGAGAAATCATACTACATGTTAGACGCATCACATCACGCGTTGGGAGCATACACAGTTCGACGAACTTGCCTGAAAGGATCTGAATTTTTTAGCCAAATTGAACGATTCCGGCAAGGAGCAGTTTATAGAACTTGTTCTTCAAAATAGGGTTCCTAAAGTGTTCATCCGCTGCTGCTGAATGTTCTCGGGAGTCATTAAGTATCTGTTCAGATAATGCAAGTACTCTGACATAAGCAACCACCACTTTTGAATGCATCAAAGTTTGAGATTTTTATGGCATAAAAAACCCTGCCCAAAGGGAATGTTTGTATGATTTCACCTGTCTCATGATGGGGTCTGAAAGGATGCTCTGGATTTCTGGATCCTGCATTGCCTTGGCCTGCAATAAGTTTTATGTAAACGTTACTATAATACAAGATTCGTCTTGTAGGGTTCCTGGAAACACCTTATTCGGGTTACAGAGTTACTCGTGGGGGTTGGTACTATTTCTGCTCCCGTCATGTATCAACGGATAAGTGTGTGTTTTCCCACTCATCACCCTACCTGCCACTAGACCCAGCAAAAGTAACCTGACCTAAAGGGATCAACCCAAAATACCCAAACACAAACTTGAACTTGACCCAAAAAGACATTAACATGAAGTGAACTAAAACCAAAGATGACCAAAATTGAAAACCCAAAACCTTTTTTACGGGAAGTTATTTGTTTCACATGCTTGCAACACAAAAAATCAAGCTACCTGAAACCACACATGCTAAAAAGTCAACTCAAACCAACCCCGAAGCCACCCAAATCTCATTGAGCCAAAACTTAACCAGTTAACTCAGAACTGAAGTTCACCCGATCAGAACTAAATGACCCGGTTGCCAGGTCTTCCATTCACTTTGTTTTTTACGAGGATAAGTTTGCATGCATCTTGATCTTGACCCCCTACACCCCTAAACGGACTTGGGACAATACTGTGTTCGTTGTTGTCGACTACATGCCAATTAGAACACAGCCTCTACTCGTTCAGGTAGGGGTAAAGTCTGTGTTCGTTTGGTTAATTGCAGTACACTTTCATTCAAAATGCATTGACTTTAGTAAAGGTAGCACTAGAAAGAAACTGAACCTGTTTTTCCTTCAGCTCTTCCGGTGTTTGAGCCCCATGAAACGCCTTATTTACTTGTTCACAACATCTGCAAATCAAGAATACTCAAACTGTAAGATGCTATAATGAACAAGTTATGCAAGAGGGACACGAAAGTGACAGAGATGTTTCTACATCCTTCTCCAAGTACCTGCTAATGTCATTCAGTAATTCCAGGTCTTCAGGGCCGTGCTTCAAACCTTCATGATAAGTATCCAAAGCTTCCATATATTCATTCATGAAGAACTGAACAGCACCTTTCCTAATGTACCCCTTAACAAATTTGGGATCAAGTTCAATGCACTTTTCAGCATCTTTAAGCCCCTCATGTAATGCCCCAAGTTTAGTGTAGCTTGCTGCTCTATTGCTGTAAGCCTATGCCATGAAGGAAAATGGAAATAAGGCTAAAAAAAATATGTCATTGCCAATAACCAAACCCAGCAAATATTCGTCTCATCAATAAGACATAAAAAACCCAAACTAGCATGGAAATACCAGAAGGTTGCTTGGATTCCTTTTGATGGACTCACTGTAGTGTTCAACAGCATCAGAGTAATTCTCCTCTTTGAACAATTGGTTACCTGATTCACAGACAATTGAGAAAATGTTACTCTCCAATAATACTACTCCTAGAACATAAACCACTAAGAACTTCCTGTGTGAATGAATAATTGAATACCAAGTACCTTTTTCAAGCTCCCAATCTGCTATTTGCGGATTGAAATACTCTTGCTGCTCCAATATTTTTTTAGCCTTCCGAGCATCATTAAGCTTCTTCAGTGTCTCCGGGTTATGATGTTCAGTGAGAGCTTTATTGTATGTCTCAATAGCTGGGTCGTAGTCCTTTGAACACGTCGCCATCTTTGTCAGAGCAGTACCCTTCCGTGTCAAAGCCCTTGCAACCATCTTACAGTCAGACCTGAGCTCTCTTCCCCGTTCAACAGCTTTGTCACAATCATTGATACACTCTTCATACTGAAGTCATGTAAAATATAACTCTTTAATCCATGAAAATATTATAATAGTTCTTTCAGTTACATGATATCAGAAAATTAAGCCTGTAGTTGACTACTCCCTCTGTCACAAAATAAACACCTTGTTTTGACTTTCACTGAGTTTAAGAAAAAATTAATGGTAGGGATTTATTGGGACATTCAAACAAGGAAAACATGATGACTATTTTGGGACAGGGGGAGCATAACTTAGTGGTAGCCCATTATAACAACTCAGTCTCACCGGTCACTATTTTGTCTCTTTTACCATTTCGTTCTATCCAGATAGTTTTTCCGCATACAATATTTGATATGATTCTTGTAGCTCAAACCAATTTATACCACGCACAATTCAACTTTAAAAATCATGAGCCAATGTAACATGCTTTTTCATCTCTTTTTGTTAACTTTACTTATTTTATTCCCTTCAAGTTTGTGTTTTGAGCTGAAAGTCTCTTGGAAACCACCTTTTACTCTCTGGGTAGAGGTAAGGTCAGCTACACTCACCTTCTACACTTTACAGGCCCTACTTTGTGGAATTTTACTGGGATTGTTGGTGTTATTGTTGTTTTGTACTCATGTCTCACAAATAATAGGGTGGATTGGGTTAAGCTGTATAGATGAATTCTTAAATTTATAAAACATTCAAGTATTCGTATACAGTCGACCCATCAGTGGCAAATCAAGGGTGAACATGTCATTGAAAATTATGTTGAGGCTAATGAATCCTCTAACCTTGAAAAGAAGAAAAACTAAGTCGAGGCATAAAGAAAAATCTACTTATCTTATTCATTCCTTATAATGAACAGCAATCAAAAAATAAACAAATGTTTTACATGAAAAAAGCCCACCTCTACAAATACAGAAGAAAAAAGAGAACAAACATCTAATTTCTCCAAAATCATTAGCCGAAGCAACCTTCATTGGGACAAACAAATAAAAAGACAGCTTTGCATAAATATGAGTCATTTGTACAAAAACATAGAGGTTAAAGAGAGCCTCATATGACTTACATTTGCATCAAGTAAAAAGAATGCAATCCATAAAAAGAGAAGTGGAAGCCACAAGTTAATTTTATAGCATTCCTATCAAACCTTGAGGCATATACCTCAATAGCTTTTAAACCATTAATTTGATAATATCTAGGATTGGTAAAGTCATGATTTAAAATGAAAGTGATAATCCAAACCCAAATACATCACTCTCCACCTACAGTTATTCTAATAAAGCTAACTGAGACCCCATTACGAAAACTAAATAAATAAGACTGGGTGCCATGATACTCCAAGAAAGAATAAAGAACTAATTTAGCATCTATTCATGCACCATAACAGACAAAGTTTCACTGCTGCTGAATGATAAACTAACCAAGGTTTATATAAATGCTGGCAGATACCGGCTCTCAAAGCACCTTCATTCCAAAAAATAAACAAGGAAAATGCAAGTGTTTGGGTGGACGTAAACACAAATGGCTCTAGCTGGTGTCAAACATCACTGCAAGGTTTAAATTTTAGATTCCAATTATCCAAACCCCATACTCAATTAAGGCAAAAAGAAGAGGCCCTTAGTAGTTCTAAAAAATGCTTTAGTTCTGAGAAGCCATTTGAAACACCCAAGCAATACAGAAATCAAATGTCAAGGAAGGAATTGTTCGTCGTCAAGCTCAGTAAATAGAGAAGGAAATGGAAGAAGCATCCATACCTTTCTCATCTCCAAAAAGACAGCAGCCCTGTTAGTGAGGAAAGAAATGTCCTGGTCGTCAATCTCCATGGCTTTACTGTAGTGATGAACCGCTGTTTCAAAATCCTTCTTCTTATATGCCACATTACCAGCCTCCTTCTCCTTCTGTGCTTCAGCTTTTCTCTCTTTAATCTCCGTCTCCACCTCAGAGAGCTCCACTGGTTCTGGCTCTGGTTCTGCTTCAATCGGTCTCGAAAACACAATGAGAGCATCCCTTACTCTCGGGTCTTTCACATAGAGGTGCAAATTTCTAGGGTTTCCATGAATCTCCTGCATCATCATCACGAAATCGGGATTCTGCAAGTATTCCCTGGTACTAGAGTCGCTGGCAAGCCTAGTCCACATCTCCTGATCCGAAAGGGCATCTTCGAACAGATTATCAGGCGAAACCCAAGGTCGAGCTGCCTGATCGTATTGAGCTTCAGCAAGTCCATATTTCAATGCCTCATTATCCGGGTCGATATCTAAGCCCTTCCCGTAAGCAGCAATGGATTCATCATGCTGGTGAAGGCCAAGATGAGCAGCGCCGAGCCGGAGGTACCCCTTGGACCAGTCCGGCTTGAGTTTGACAGTCCTCTGAGCATCGACGAGGGCATCGGAGAACTTATTCAGAGAAGCGTAAGCAGCGGACCGGTTAGAGTACAGCACGTGGTTGGTCGGTGCAAAGTTTATCGCCTCAGTGAAATGTTCGATGGCCTCGGAAAAGTTACCCGAGGCGAAAGAGGAGTTGCCTTTGGCCTTGGATTCGTCTTCGGGTGTTAGATCCCCAAGAGCCACCTTGTTCATTTTTTCTAGACACCTGCAATTCAGGAATGCCTAAAACTCTAAGATAAGATAAGGAACAATTTATGCAAGATAGGCAAGAAAGTGAGAAAGACGTTTCTCCAAGTACCTCCTAATGCCATCCTGCAATTCTGGGTGTCCAGGGACATGCACCGAACCTTCCTGATAAGCTTCTAAAGCTTCTTCATATCGATGCATTAAGATCTTTGCAGCACCTTTCTTAATGTACCCCTCTGCAAATTCGTCTCTGGTAATGCCCTTTCCAGCATCTTTAGTCTCCTTGTCCACATTAGAATCTTTAGTCTCCTTCTCCTCATCAGAGAGCTCGACTAGTTCTGGTGCTGGCTCTTGCTCTGCTTCAACTGGAGATTTTTCTCCCTTGATAGAAATTTCCGCTGACACTTTTACGCCCCACAACACGGTGAGGGCATCCCTTATTCTTGGGTCCATCATATAGACGCCCACATTCCTAGAGTTTTCCTGAATATCATGAATCTTCTTCACAAAATCTGGCTGCTGCAAGTATCCCCAGGTACTAGGGCTGCTGGCAAGCCTAATCCACATCTGCTCGCCTTTCAAGGCAGTTTCGAACGGAAAATCAGACGAAACCCTAGGTTGGGCCGCCTGAGAGTAAAGAGCTTCAGCGAGTCCATGTTTCAATGCCTCGTTATCAGGGTCGATATCTAAGCCCTTCCTGTAAGCATCAATGGATTCATCGCGCTGGTGAAGGCCGAGATGAGCAGCGCCGAGCCGGGAGTACCCCTTTGACCAGTCCGGCTTCAGTACGACGGTCTTCTGAGCGTCGGCCAGGGCGTCGGAGAACTCGTTCAGAGAAGCGTAGGCGGCGGACCTGTTGGAGTACAGGATGTGGTTGGTCGGCGCGAAGTCGATCGCCTCCGTGAAGTGTTTGATGGCCTCCGTGAAGTTGCCGGCGGCGTAAGCGGCGTTGCCTTTGGCCTTGGCTTCTTCAGCCATAGCTCTGATTTCTCTCTGTTGTAGGGTTTGGATGGAAATGCCACTCCACTACTCATTTATTTTTGTCAAAAAGGGTCAATCTTTTTTTTCTTTCAATAATACCCCCAAATTTTTTAGAGCTTTCAAAAAATGACACTTCCTTTTTTTAAATAGTACTATTTCCATTTCCAAATAATTTACCTTGTTATGATTTCTTGATAATTTTGTTTATTTTCATATTTTCATTGATCAATTCATAAAATAAAATATTCTTGTCATATTTTGTTTTATTGAACTTTTAGTATAGTTTTTAAATATGTAAGTTTCATTTTTTTAGTTACATATCAATTTGTAAAATAAAATCATTTTAGAAATCTTAAAATTTTCAAACATGAAACTTTTTTGGGGCGGAGGTAATATTATTGAACTATTTAAAAGTGGCCCTCAAATCTATTTAAACAGACACAAATCCTTTTAATCGACTTTTTGTAATTATATATTTTTCCTAAGATTTTCTTATTTTTTGGCAATAAAATGTTTCTTTTCAATTTTTCTCCACTTACAAATATTATTTAATATTTTTAAAACATACAGAGTAACAATGCAATTTACAAAGTATGATATTTATTTCATTAATAAAAATATTACCACCGTCGCAAATAACATCCTAATATTCTTTTTTTGACTTAAACCTTTTGTTTTATCTAATAAATCAATTTTTAAAAAAATTATTGTTTTATTGTTGACTAACATTTTAACCTGTGTCACTTTTTCTCATATTTTTATTAATTATTTGAAAAAATAATATTATCATGTCAGTTTTTGTTTCGAAATACTTTTGAAATACTTTTTAAATATATAAAATTTATTTTTTAATTTCATCTCAGCTATTAAATAAAATGTACTGAAAATAACTTCAATTAAATACCGTAAACCAAAACAGTGATTTAAATTGGGACGGATGAAGTATTATTTTTTAAAAAATAAAAGTAATTAATATAGAATTCATCATTTGTATGAAGATAATAACAATTAAATTATTAATCATATTTAAAACAAATATTTTATAGTAATTACAGCTCTTATTTTTACTTATGAAATACTCCCTCCGTCCCAAAATATTTGTCACACTTGTTTTTTCAGCAGTTGCGGGAACTTTTGTTTATTTCTACATTTTCATTGGTTATTTGAAAAAATAAAATATTTTTGACATCTCTTATTTCGAAGAATTTTTCATGTAGATTTTTTATATGTAAATTTTATTTTTTATTTCTATACCAATATGTAAATAAAAGGAATTGAACAAATTTGATATTTTACCTCGGGAATACAAGTGTGACAAATATTTATGGAGGGATGTTACATAAAAATAAAAACAAACAATGATGAAGTTAAAATCCCGAATAGCTTTACACAAATACACAATTCAACAAAGAATTTAGGTACTAATGCATTTGAAAAAATTTAGGATCAGATAACTAATTGTTATCTAATTCGCTGGCTAAAGAAACAACAAACCAATAAAATCTCAGAAAAGTAAGGTCTGAAAAACATTAACATCCTAGTAGAAATTGCTAGCTGAAGGCCATACATGAATATTTTAAAAAGTTGTCTAATTTTGATTTTTTACGGCCAAAACCGGCAAACTTTGATTAGAAATTAAATAAAATTGGTATTAGATATTGATACAAAAAAATATTAGCTTCATCTTGCATAATATTTTTAAAATATTATTTTACTCCATATTAATTTATATACCATATAATTTTTATTTAATTCTAGATCAAAGGTTGATCAAAGTTAAAACTGGACAACACTCTCGGGGCGGAGGAAGTAATGACGAATGATCTCCATGTATTTCGATTTTGCAAGTTGTCACATGTTTTTAAAAAAATATATATAAAATGGTTGATAAAGATTAGTGCATGCCAGACTGCCAGTATATAACAAATGATGATAGCATTTTACTTGAAAAATAGGCCTAAAAGAACAAAAATGTTTCACAAGAACAACTTGACCCATAAAACTTAAACTGTTCACAGACTAAATTATTTATAAAACTATCACTCAACATTTATAAGTATTCCTAAATGGCTTATTTATCATTTTAGCCATTTTACTTTCATGAATGAATATTTAACTTTTAAGCACCGTATGAGTTATAATCACTTATCAACAGTAAATCAATATGCACTATCACATAAACACCTCCTTAAATTAAATAAATTAGCGATATAAATACAATGCTTTTTTTATTTAAGTTAAATGGGAAATTTTTTACTTACGAAAATCTAATTTATTTGGCACACATGTATCTGTTGGAAATTTTAAAGTAAATTGGACATTTACGGACATAAATTCGGTTGGGTCCACAAAATTATTTTTCCAAAATAATTATGGACGATTAATCTCGTAAGTAAGACGAACGTCTTGACATATTACACGCCATAAACGGTGCTCGGTGGAATGAGAAATTAATTCTCAAAGTTGAATACTAAGGTAGAGTAAATGCCTTTGTCCCAAGAAGAGAACTCCTCGCGCGCCCGGCGCCGCCGCTGTCCGTCCGGCGGGGCGCGCCGCGCCCGCGTCTGTGGCGTGGCTAGCTCTTCGTCATTCTCGTTCGCCGGTGATTTGTTCTACCGCTCTAGACCTAGCACGAAGCGGTTTTATCCTGGGAGGAGATTGCCCACGTTAGCCAGTGCGGGAGGCGGGCAATACTACCTAAAGGAAAGCTCCGGCGACTCCGCTTTCCATATCCTTCTTTCATAAACTACTCCGGCGTTCTTCCTCCCTTCATCCGACGTCTCGTTCAAGCGCCCGTCCGTTCACGTTCCGGCTTCCGTTCGAGCTTCCGAAGACTTCAAGTTTATTTTTCTTTTTATTTTTGTTGTAAAATCCGAATGTTTTATAAGTTCGGATTAATTTTATTTTTCCCGCTGTACTATTCAACAGTATCACTTAGAGTAGGGGAAATGAGTGTATCACCCACTGCATCAAACCGATGTTTAATGTCGTTGTGATCTTAAAAACCGCCCCTGCGGTGTTATCCCAGTGTTAAACCTCATACATTAAAGGTTTAACGCAACTGAAAGCCGAGGAAGAGATACATTGTCACTCCCCTAACGGTCCAAAATGTGGATGTTGTCTAATTTTAATTTTTAAAATCTTATTTTCAATTATAAATACTCTCTCATTTTAAAAAAAATATACACGCACAATATATTCTCATTTTTCTCTACAATCCAAATACCTTATATTTTTATAAAAATGAAATCATCATCTTCATCTGATGAAGAGAGAAAAGTATTCATGTTTTGAATTTTTTCAACGGGATGTTAACAGTGGTGGCAACATCAACAATAAGAGGAAGCCAAATCGTCCTCGCGCTCAACCCGATGTGAGCATTTAAACTATGACTAGGTGACTGCGCACGAAGTACTTCGTGTGTTTACATGCCAGAGGATTTTAGTAACTGTTTTCAAGTGAGTCGTCCTTTGTTTTTAAGAATACTAATGGACATTGAACGTGAAGTGTCTTCGTTCACCCAACGGGTTGATGCGAGTGTAACGCCCCGAAACCTGGCCCAAAAGAATTAATTAAATTGTTAGAGCAATTAATTACGAATTGGGCCCAATAAGGGGTTAAAATTATAATTTGGATTTTAAGACCAACTTTTATGTCATCTCGTAGGAAATATTTTTGTGATCGCGTCGGTTCAGACGGCTTGCGAATCGGAGTTATGGAACTCAAGTTATGACCATTTAATCAGGTATTTTGGGTCCGAAGCCCAATCCTTTTTGGAATGGGACCATTAAATAAACCTAAACCACACAAACCTTATCTTATTTCTCCTTCTTCGATTCTTCTTCTTCTTCTTCCTTCTTCTTCTTTTTCTTTCTTCTTCTTCTTCTTTCTTCTCCTTCTTCTTCTTTCTTCTTCGCCGCCCAGCCGGTCGCCGCCGTACAATTGGAGCAGCCGCCGGCGTCGCCGCTCATCGCCGCCGCCAGTCGCTGCCCAGCGTCGCCCTTCCCCAGCCTCGCCGCACCAGCCAACAGCGACCTTACCGTCGCCGGAAGCCAGTCGCTGCCCAGCGCCGCCGACGACGGTTCACCTCGTCGTTCTGCCGGACATCGCCTCCACTGCCGGCGTCCTTCCCCGCCGTCGATTGCAGCGCCGCCAGTCGCTGCTCACCGCCGTCGAGCTGCCGCTACGCCACTGTCGCCGGCGTCCGTCACCGTCGCCGCATCCGGCCGCTGCCCCGAGTTGATATCGCCGGCAGATTAACCTCCACGCCGGATTGATTGGTCAATTTCGTATTTTGACTCGATTTGACCCGTTCGGTTGATTTTGTTGACTTGTCTTCCGTTCGAGCTATCGATTCGATTTCGGCGTAATCCAGGTCCGTACTATGAAGTTAATAGCATTCAGAATAGATTTAATGGTTTGGATCGTTATATGTGTTTATGCTATAATTTGGCTAAATTGGTTAATTGAATTAAATTGATTGTTTGAATTGAATTGTTGAGAATTGTGAATTGACTGAACAGGTTTGACTTTGACTTAGGTTAGGTCATGTTTGACCTAGGCTTTGACTGGATATTCTGTTGTCGTAGGTTTGACCGGATGGTTAAATCCAAGACTTTAATGAATTAGTTAAGTTAATTAATTAATTCTAATTGGTGATTAAGGTCAATTGGTTTATTGTGTTGAACATAGAAACTGGCCATCGCTCGGGCGGCTGCAGGGCCTGGTCAGTGAGGTTAAGACGTGCGCACGAGGGTCTGCGATCTTGGGTTTGAGGCCATCGCCCGAGGGATCCTACCTCCACCGAATTGAGGCCATCTTCGGTATTACGGATTGAGGCTATCTCCGTCATAGG